ATGCTGAGGTCTAATGCGCACTTTAAGGAGAAGGACTCGAGCACATCTCCTCCTCGCCACTGGATGACATTCAAGGCAAGTGTGGCTCTGAATAGGTGGTCATTGTGAATGGCCGGTCTCCCTCATTTTCTCCTGAGAACATCTCCGCTTGGAGGGACCCTGGGCTTGTCAGGGGCCAGTTCCCACCCCCTAGTGGTTCAGAGAGTTCATGGTTATGGTGAGACCTGCAGTCTTCACTCCCCCTGATGGATCAATGCCAGCTCATTGAAAATCTATGGTAATTGCCATGCATGCCCCATGAGTCTTTAGTGGCCTCTCTGGAATATGAGAGGAAATGACCACTGAACAAGACAGGCTCACAGAGCTCAGGGTGAAGGGCAAGGGCCGTGGGTGAATTTATCTAGATGATATACAGGCCACAGAGCCAGATAGCCTGAGTTGGAATCCTGGCTCCACGCTTACCAGCTGTGTGTCCTTGGGCAAGTGACTCCATCTCTCTGTGTCTCAGGCTTTGCATCTGTGAAGTTCGGCAATAACAACATGGCCCTCCAGGGCTATTGGATTATTGAAATCAATTTACAAGGAATGCTTGGAGCAGAGCCTGGCACAGAGTTGGGGCTCAACACGAGTCCGCTGTTGCTCTTCCTGCCTCTCCTTGCAATGCCTGTGGGGGCCGTGGGATCGTGCTGGGGAGCAGAGTCGGGTGTGGGAGCAGGAGGTAGATGGGAACCGATGACGGCTCCTCTGATCTCCCTTCTGTGGGTCTGGCTGCCTTGTTCCTGCCCCAGCCCCACCTGTCCTGCTGGTGACTTCAGGGATTTTATTCAACTTCTCTGTGCCTCTGCAAAGGGAGGCCAATTATAATAGGATCTCCCTCAAAGGGCTGTGTGGAGGATTAAAGAATCCATTACAAGTAAAGCACTGCGACTGCCCTCTGAGCACAGTCAGCCCTCAACAAATGTGGTCTGGCACTATCTTCCTACTTCAGCTACATGGCTCTCAGGCACCCCGTGCAGCAAACTCACCCAGAAGCTCAGTTCCAGCTCCCACCTCCACAGACAGACTTAATTGCTCAGGGGTGGCCCAGGAATCTGCATTTCTACAAGCCCCACTTGTCCTCCTGAAAGCACTGCAAGGTACCCAGAAACTCCAGCTTTTCCACATTCCCTTCCCTGCTTCAGGCCACACCAGAGCTAGAACTTCATCATCCTTTGTCCAACCCGATGTTCCATTCAGAAGGCACCCCACTCCTCTCACCCCCTTTTCCAGGGAGTTTGCCTTTGGGTTAAAGTTCCAGTCTTTAGACGTCTATGATTATTAAAAATATACATTTCTACCAAAAAATGGAATAAATGAATGCCTCTGTGAATAATGAATTCCATTCCATAGAAGCCTGATTCTCAGTGAATGAAACCAGCCCACCCCACTGAATCAGGTGCAGGAATCTTCCACCATTCTGCTTCCATCCATTCTGCTGCCGCCTGGAGTTTCAGGACCTCTCCCTTTGGCTGTGGACCTGGAGCTGCCTTAGCGCCCAGGGAGTTGCAGTGGGGAAGGGGTGGGGTTGCAGGGTTGGTGGAGGTGGGCACCTCTGCCCAACTATATAGGAGGGTGATCATGTACAAAAGCCTGCTTGGCCTTTGGTTTGGCCAGGGGAAACTCCTGCCTCCTTGTCACACTGGACACCCCCTCTCTGGAGCTATGAACAGGAGCCTGGGCCTGTGCACTCCAAGATCTGACCCCGTAGGTGCAGCCACACCCATCTTCCCTTGTTCCTCCAATCTGCTGAACCTTTTCCCACCTCAGGGCCTTTGCCCCTGCCATCCTGTCTACCAGACACACCCTCCCCCATCTATACTCAGTGCAGATTCCATCTCCTCCTGGACTCAGCTCAAATGTCACCTTCTTTAGAGACCTTCCCTATGCATTGCCCAAAATGGCCTCCCTCCTATTCTCAGTCTTACCCAACTTTTTCCCTTTGATATGATCTGTAATTGTTCCAGGTACTGCTTCTGCCGTGTAATGCTTCTGATTCTCTCACCAGACCAAAAGTTGCTGGAGGAGCAGGTTGTCTGTTACTGCCTAGAGCCAAGCACAGTGCCTGGCCCATCACAGGCCCAGAGGGAGTAATGGTTGACAGATAAATACATTTTTCTCTTTTTTTTTTTAAGAATTTATTTATTTATTTGACAGAGAGAAATCACAAGTAGGCAGAGAGACAGGCAGAGAGAGGAGGGAAGCAGGCTCCCCACCGAGCAGAGAGCCCGATGTGGGGCTCGATCCCAGGACCCTGAGATCATGACCTGAGTCGAAGGCAGAGGCTTTAACCCACTGAGCCACCCAGGCGCCCCGACAGATAAATACATTTTTATCCAAGTCAAACTCCTTGAAAGTCAGCTACCCAGAAGAGCCAGGGCTTTAACTGGTGTCGATGGGTACACCTTAGGAGGATGATGGTAATCCTACTACTGCGAGCAACATTTTTTAACGAGGTGCATTTTGTTTTTAACAGACAAACCAAAGTTTTTGTCACATTTTCAGAATGCCCCCCCAAAAAGGTGAAGTTTGTTTGAACGGAAATTCTTTGAAATAGTAAAGGTGATGGTAACAGATGAGGTTTGGGGCCCCCAGCAGCTCCACCTTCCAAAGGAAGCAACATCTCACTACTCTGGGGAGGGCCCGAGAGCCTGCTGGAGAGGGCAGCTCATCCTCCTCCAGGCCGGGAGCTCCATAGGCTGCTGCCTTCCTCTCGGTCCCTGTCCCCTCACATGCGTTAGGAAGGTGTAGTGAGATGACCTGCAGAGCCGGCTTCGCACAGTGAACGCAGTCCACCAAATGAATGTCAGCCCACTGCCTTGGAGGTGGCTGCCAGGGATGGAGGGTGGGGGGGCGACGGGCTAGGGGGAGACGCCACACCAGCTAACCTTTCCCTTCAATGTCCTCCTCAGGGAGGTCGTTTCTCTGACAGCCCCCTCCCCACTGCTCAGATTTTTCCTGACTGGGCCCTCGCAGAGCACCTCTGCCTCCCCTTCACAGCCACACGTCGCCATCACGTGCTCCCAGCTGGGATGGCTAGAGACTGTCAGCCTCCCCACAGGAACAGGGGCACCACCAGGACAAGGAACTGCAGGGCTCACCACGGAGCAGTGGCCTCCCACTCCCCTGTCCTGCACCGGGCTTGGAAAGTCCACACCCTCCACCCTGTTATCTCTGTAGATTCGGTGGCCCTGAGAGTCACAGCCTGTGATGGGGCAGGACTAACAGCCCGCCCTACTCCCAAGGTCAGACCTTCAAAGAGCAAGGACAACAGGTTTGTTCCTCCCAACAGTGCCCACTCTTCTCCAATTTTCTCGACAAAAAATAACAAAATCCCAACTGGTTACACAAGACCAGGAAGAGTGGAAAAGTACATTTCGAGGTAACTGATATTCTACAAACATCCCCAAGGGGAGTGTGAACCCTGCAAGGATGTCAATTCCGGAAAGCCATCACCCTGAACGAATGCTTTCGTTATGATCTCTTACAAAACTGGATGTGAAGTGCCCAAGGACGGCCCCAGGGCTTTGTGAGCTCTGCAAAGGACCCTGCACATTCCCTACAGCCCAGGAGGAGAGCACAGGGAGTGAGGAGTGCCTTTGTCTCAGAGCTCCCAGCAGCTGAACTGTGGGGCCCGGACCCCCGAGGCCTGTGTAGCTGCAGTGGAAAACTTGAGAGAATTTTGAGTAGAGGAGGGCCCTGGTCTGATTAATGTCTTAAAATGATCACGCAGGGGACACTGGGGTGGCTCGGTTAAGCATCTGATTCTCGGTTTTGGCTCAGGTCATGATCTCAGGGTCGTGAGCTCGAGCCCTATGTCGGACTCTGCGGGGAGTCTACTGGAGATTCTCTTCCTTCCCTCTCCTTCTGCCCCTTTACCCACCTCAAATGAAAGTAGATAAATCTTTTTTTAAAATGATTGTACAGGCTGTGGTGTGCAAAACAGATTGTAGGTGGGCAAGGGAGAAAGCCACGAAACCAGGTAGGGGCGGCCCAGTGTAATCCAGGGCGACATGAGGGGGGCTGAGGAGGGGCTGCTGGATGTGGTCAGGCTCTGGAAGTGCTGACAGGGTGGCCTGACAGATGGGTGGTGGGCAAAGTGGGAAGAAGAGTCGAGAAGGACCCCAAGAGCTGGGGCCAGAGCAACTGGATAGATTGTGGCACTATTTCCTGAGATGGTGAGGACAGGGGGATTTGAACTGAAGTTTCTCCGACCCCCAACTCCAGGGCAGTGAAGTAAACCTAATGCTTTGGCTTCAAGGCTCTCTGTCCGCCTCCAGTAAACCTTATCCATAAACCATCCATCCAACTGTTCATTCATTCATTCGTATCATTTAACAAACTCTTACTGCTAACTACCGTGCGGTAAACATGGGCAGTACTGGACACAGGAGGATTAATTCGCCTCACACCCTCCCCTACAGAAACTTAAAGTTTGTTAGGTGGTTCAGAGATCAACTGTTCTCACTCATTCATGTGTTCAGTCATTGAGTCACCCAACAAACATTCATTAACACTAATTCCTGGCAAGCAAGCACCATGGTAGGCATTGCGAATGATCTTGACCTTGAAAAAGTCCTAATCCACCTGGAAAAACTGGAATTAGCTATCCTCGCTCATTTACTGTAGGATCCCCAATACCCAGCCTGAGCAGGATCTGGGAGGGGACTCTCGCTGGATGACCCAACAGTGGGCTCTAGTGGGCGTATCCAAGCAACACAGCCTCCCTCTGGATCCCTGGCCCTCCCCACAGGGTTCCACCTGCCGCCCTCACCATGTGAGAAAAGCCCAGTGGCAGCTGCCAGCGTCCATCACGACACCTCCCCACAGCATGCTCAGGGCTAACTCTGGTGTCATTCTCCCACAGAAAACCATGAGTCCATTCATTCAGGCAGCCAACCCCGCAACCACCCATCTGGGTACCATATGACCCTCCTTGACACCTGCAGGTCCCAGAACCCAAGATGTGTCCAATCTGGAGGCTCCTGGTCCTCCTCAGCTTGCTGTCGGTGCCCTCAGCACTGCACAAGCAGCCTTGGCGTGGCCTGGTCGAGGCCCACATGGACAGACCAGCTCTGGCGAGAAGTAAGCTCACCCCGTGCTCTGCCCACTGTCTCAGGGTGGGTGGGGAAGGCATCATCCTGCTGGGTGACCTTGGGTCAGTCACTCCCTCTCTCCCTTTTTCTCTGAGACCTCAAGTGTAGAAAACTGAGGTTGAATTGATCATATGCCAGTTCATGGAATGTCATCATTACTGTGAATCGTGGCAAGGCCCTCTTGGCTTTATTCTATCGTTTTCCCCTTTACTGCTTATTCTCACTCCCACCCCTCTTCCTCGGCTCTGTGGGGTGTTTAACACATGTGTTTATGTACAATCACATCCTGATACAACATAACAGTGTTTTGATTTGCATAGATGGCATCACCATATAGATCTTGATTTTTACTGTTTTCACTGGGCACTGTGCTGTTGACATCTGTTGCTTCATGCTGGTAATGAGAAGTCCATGAGACTGGACTCATCACTGCCTGGCCACTTCCCTAGGGATGGACTGCTGAGTCGTCTCTAACTCCCCACTAATATAAGCTACCCTGAGATCAACATCCTTGCATATGTCCCTGTTAGGAGCCATAGAAGAATGTCTCTGGGAGAGACCCAGAAGTGGAATGGGTGGATACAAACTCAATTTAACGAATGACTGTCAAACTGCTTTCTAGAAGGGCTGTGCTGCTCTATACGGGCTCCAGTGACTAACAAGCATACCCGTCTCCCCAGCCCTGTTTCCCAAAACTGGAGAGGATTTATCTGCCTCAGTCTACTCCACTAGCCATAGCAAGATACCACAGGCTGGGGGGCTCAAACAACAGACATTTCTTTTCTCACAATTCTGGAGGCTGGCAGTTCAAAATGGAAGGTGCCCACAGGGTTGGCTTCTGATGAAACCCCTCTTCTTCTCTCTTCCTTCTAGCTTGCGGGTCTCTGCCCTCTCCCTGTGTCCTCACATGGGCCTTCCTTCCGCATGTGCACGGAGAGTGCACTCTGCTGTCTCTGTCTTTTCTTAGAAGGACACCAGTCTTATCGGATTAGGGCCCCAACCCTATGACCACAGCTTAAGCTTCTTTACCTCCTTCAAGGAGGTACAGTCTCCAAATACAGTCCCACTGGACGCTAAAACCTCAATATGTTCATTTGGGGCCAGGAGGAGCTACACAATTCCATATGTAACACTGTCTTTCTCCCGTCTGCCAGACTGAAGTGCACGTGAGTGCTCTGGAATTGTCTCAGCTTGACTTCATCTGATCCGTGGGAAGTTTGAGCCCCTCATCCCAGTTTCATTAGCCATTTGACTTCTTCGAATTCCCTGTCCTCATATCTTGTCCATGTTTCTCTTTGCTTCCCCAGGGATTTTATTTTTATCCTCTCTGATTTGAGGGTTAATTTATCCTTTTTTTTTTTAAGATTTTATTTATTTATTTGATAGACAGGGAGCACAAGTAGGCAGAGAGACAGGCAGGGAGAGAGGAGAAAGCAGGCTCCCTGCTGAGCAGAGAGCCCGATGCGGGGCTTGATCCCAGGACCCTGAGACCATGACCTGAACCGAAGGCAGAGGCTTTAACCCACTGAGCCACCCAGGCGCCCCAGCATTAATTTATTCTTGACGCTGGTCCTTCTTCAGGTCTAACCAGTGCCAACATTTCTCCCAAACTGTCACAAAGTTGTAGATGTAGAATGCTCCACTAAGTACGACATTTTCCGGAGGTTTTTGAAATCTTTTTTATCATGTTAAAGAAATCCCCATATTTCTGGTTTTCTGAATTTTTCTTTTTTTATTAATTTTTCTTAATCATAAATCAGTACTGGCTTTTAACAAATGTTTTTCTATCTCTAAAAATTACTCCATTTTTTCTTCTAAATCGTTAATGTGATAAATTGTACGAATAGATTTTTGTCTGTTGAACCCATCCCAGCATTTCTGGAATAAATTTGATACTTTATAATTTACTAGAATGATATATTTATACTGTACTATTTCTATAATGTACTAGAATGTACTTATAATGTAACATACTAAAATATATTTTACAAGGTAATATATTTTTAGAGATTTTTTATTAACATATAATGTATTATTTGTATTTTTATAATGTACTATTGGCTACTCAATTTGTTAGCTAAGAATCTTATAGGAATTTAGCCAATTTTTCATACATGAAATCAATGTGGACCTTTCTTCCCTAATACTGTTCTGGAAGCTGGGCAAGTTACCCTGGCCTCATAAAATGAATCTGGCACCTTTTTCTTTTTTTTTTTATCTTTTTCACAATTACCTCTTTATATAAAGTTTGGTAAAACTCTTCCCCAAAACCATCCACATCAAACACTTTGGGGGAATGGAATCTTCAATTAACTACTTCTACTTCTTAAATCTTGAAATCAGTGTTTCCCATTTCCCTCATCACAACTTGGCATTTTATGGTTTGCAACAAAGGTATCCATTCCATTTAGGTTATGAAATACATTCATGTGTATTTGGGGGTCCAGGCAGCCTCATGGTTACAATAGGTGTAGTTAGAATGCTATTTCATGGGGCCACCCTGGAGATTTAAATGAAGAAAAGCATGGGCCAAATGCTTTTTCAGCTGTGAATATATTTATCACTATAACCATGTCTCCTATCAGTTAGGATACTTAGCTGCATAGAACAGAAAACCCAATTCAATATGGCTGAAAAAAAACCAAAAACGTTATTTCACATAACCAAAATTCACAGGTAGGACAAACTCCAGGTCTGATTCAATCAGGAGCTCAAAGGTGCCACCCAGAGCTGGATTTTACCCTTTTTTTTTTTTTTTAAATGTCTGCTATCATCACAGTGTCATCCTCAGGCTGCTAGTTCCCAGCGTGGTAGGAAAATGGTGGCCAATGACCATCAGAGTGACAGACTGCCTTGCTCCCTTTCAGTAGGAGACAGAGAAAGAAACTTCCCCTCAAATGTGAAACCTAAGATCATCTGTTTAGTCTGATAAGGCCAACTTGTGTTATATGCCCACTTTAAACCTGAAAGAGTCACCAGGCAATGATGGCTCAGATAATCAAAGGCCTCATCTGGACAAGGAACTGGACAGAGTGCCTGAATCAAAACAGGATTCAGATGGGAATGACAGGATGGATGAATGGGAGTATGGATAGATAGATGAATAGATGGGTGGATATTTGAACAGAAGGAAGATGGATGGGAGGTGGATGGATGGATAGATGGATGGATATTAGACAGATGGATAGACAGATGGATAGATATTGGACTGGCAACTACTAGTCCACTGCTCACAATTTTCCAAGTGTTGTTATTATCATTAGCCAAGAACTACCAAGAGTTCTAGGCATACCTATAGTATCACTCTATCTTTGAAACTATTTAGTCAATGTATATCTCTCTTATTAGACAGGAAACTGTTCTGTGTCTTTGGTATGCACCACAAGGCCTATACCCAATAGATGTTCAATAATATTCTTTTTTTGGATAAATGATATTTATCCAATTCTGTTTGGACAACTTATCTCAACTTACAAGAACCTTGTGAGATGTGCATTATTACTGCCCCCATTATACAGATGAGGAAATCAAGACCCAGGAAGGTGGCAGCATTTCAACCCAGATCTAGGACTCCAAACACACTTTCCTCTTTGCAGGCAACAGAAACAGGGGATAATGAGGGGGAACCATGGTTTCTGCTGCTCTGCAGTGTGGGTTTGATCCCAGGGAGGGTGAAGTCAGTGAAATACATGTGTCCTGTGGTATGCTTGGAGGTTCGCCAGAGCTGGACCCCAACCTAGTATCAAGACAGGCAGGATTTCAGTGTGCCTGGCACTTGAAAATCCCTTCCTTTTTGGAGTTCATTCTCTGCTGGGACCTCTGCTTAGTTCTGCTGCTGATTCCGGGCACAGTGTGGGAGGAATTACATTCATCCTCTTCCTAGTTGTTCTCTCCAAGCAACATTTACTGTGATATACATGCTGTATACTAGGTTCTGTGGCTCGGATTCAGAGATTGCATTGGGCAGGCTTCCCACCATTACATTTCCTTTGAGCCACTCTTGCTGGCCAGAACCTCAGCAGGGCTGTCGCCTCAGCCCTGCAAAGCACCACTTTCCAGATGAGACATGTGGGTTTCCGTGTAGAGGGTGGAGTTGAAGAGTGACAAGCACCCATCACTCAGCAAGAAGCAGATGCAGCAGCCCACACACAACCTCGGCTTCTTGACTCCAAACCCCCTACCTCGTCCACGACACTGTGCAATGTCACTGGTCCATTGTCCATTTCCAGTTATTGCCCAGGGCCTCATGAAGCACAACGTAGAGGGTCGAATCCAGAACCTCCGCCTCATGGACAGTCTGAATGCCTCGGGGCAGATGGCCCCAGGGATGGTGGGCCGGCTAATAAATGGCATGAACCTCCAGCAACAGCAAGAAAGCAGGTGAGCCCCTGAACCCCATCTCTGGTCCTAGGACTCTCTATAAAGCTCTGGGTCAGAGGGCAGAGCTCAGCACGTGGGGGCACACGGCTGTGAAAAGGGAAAGCAGGAAGACTGGAAGAAGGGGATGAAAGGCCCAATGCAAGACTGAGTGGGGGACCCAATATGAGAGGTCATTTGGGGAGGAAGCATAACAGGGTGATCAAAGCAAAGCCAGGAACAAAAGTTTCTGCACTTAAATCCTGGGTCTGCCACCAACCTTGGGGAAATGGCCTGAGCACTCAAGCCTTATCTATAACATGGGTGCCCAGAGCACAGCCTGGATCAAGGTCTGGGGTGCCAAAGGAACCCAGGACTAGCGTCTGACATTTGAATCCCACTCTATTGCTTGATAGCTGTGTGACTCTAGATAAGGTGTTTGAGGTCTCTGAGCTTCAGCCTTAAGCCCTCATCAGTAAAAAGGGTGAAATAACTGTCCCTGGCTCGCGGGCTTAGGAGCTTTCTCTGTCGCACACAGTAGATGTGTAGGCATTGGGCCCTCCAATTAGCCCAGCAGAGCAGGACCGGGATGCTCGACCATACTTCCACTCCTTCTTCTGGAGGGCAGGGCCTCCTCAGCCTCCCAGGCCCCCAGCCACTCCACTGCAGCAACCCAGTTCCCGCCTACTGCGCCCTCAAGCTCCTTTCTCTCTCATCCCGCCCCTCAGTCTTGCCATTCTAATGAGCCCTCGTACTTGCTGGCAGGGTTTCCCTGGATGTCTGCAGCCACAACACTTCCCTCCTTCCATTCTGTTAATAATAGTTGTTACAAGCATTTATTGTACACCTGCTGTGTACCAGGACCTGGGCTGGGTCCTTGGAATACAGCTATGAACAGGACATATGGTCACTGCCTTTTTGGATCTTATATCCTAGTTAGTTAAGTCACAAAAGTAAATAACTAATTTCAGGTACAGGGATATGTTATGAAGACAGCTTTAGCAAGGTAAGAATGGGGCTGATCAGGAAGACCTTTCTAAAGAGATAATCCCTAGGAAGAATGAAGAGAAGGAAGCAAACCACATGAAGGACATAGAAGGGCAGTAAGTACAAAGGCCGAGGCAGGAAAGGGACTGGTGTGTCTGAGAATGAGAAGTCCTGTGTGGCTGGGTGAGCAAGGCAGAGGGTGGTAGAAGGTGCGGCAGTGGAGGCAGGTGGGGCCAGACCCTGCAGGTCTTAGGGTTCACAGTGTGGAGTTCGGATTTTATTCCAAGAGCAGTGAGAAACCCAGGGAGAGTGTTAAGTAATAAGGCTGCCTGTTGGCTGCCGCATGGAGAATAGTTTGTAGAGAGACCAAGTTCATGGTAAGGAGCCCAGAGAGAAACTAGAACATCTCCAAGCGAGAAGTGCTGGTAGCCTGGTCCAGGTGAAAGGGACAGGAGGAGTGGGAAGTTGCCAAACTCTGGGTATATTTTGTAAGCAGAGCCAGCATGATTCACTGTTGGGTTGAATGTGAAGGTGAGGGATGGAGAAAGCCAAGAAGGCTCCCAGGGCTTGGGAGGCAGTGGCTGGGTCTGAGAACAGCCCCCGTGTGGGTCTGCAGCTGGCTGTGGGTTGCACACGTTCGTGGTGTGGAGCTGTGAAGGGCCCTCTGGGACAACTTGCAGCCCTAGGCTCCTGCAGGTGGTTCTTGCCCTCCCAGCATCTTTAAAAGGATCTGACTCCAAACCCCACCACCAGGCCCTTTTCATAAACAGCATGCCAGCCTTTCTTGTCAGCCTGAGAACCTGATGTCTGAGCTCCCTCCCACTCGAAGGGCCTCTGCTCTTTCCTTCTGTAGCGCCAACATCACCAACATTCAGCTAGACTACAGTGGGATTCGGATGTCTTTCCATAAGGAGTGGTTCTCAGCAAACATCTCACTTGAATTTGACATTGACTTGAGACCGTGAGTCATACAGCAGCAGGGTCGGTGGGGTGCTGTTCCTCCTCAGTGGGAATCTGGGAGTTGGGGGGATGGTGGAATTTGGCAACATGGGGAACCTAGATCTTTATGACTCCAACCTGGTTCAAATTCTGGTTTCTGAACTCACTCACTATGTGACCCTGGGCAGGTCACTTCACATCTTCGAGCCCCAGTTTCTTCAGCTGAAATATGGGTGGCAATCCCTAGTCATTTGCTCATTTAAACCTATGTGAGTTCATTACATTGATTTTTTTAAAAAGAGAGAAACACTTAAATTATATCATCACCTTCCCTCCATCTGCTCAGACTATCCTTTACCGTCAGCTGCTTGGAAGAAAACGGGAGATGACAGCTAAACGGTACAGACTTTTTAAATAAGATAAACTCTCTACTTCTGAATATCAAAAGGCCCCTTAGCTGGTCTGTCTAAAGGATTTTCAGAAATCACTCTGCCTAACAGCATTTTCTCCTTGGTCACTGGTTGCAGGAGTCAACAGGCTGGGCTGGTTTATTGAAAGAGTCACTCTTCCCTTTGTGTTGGCTGTTTCCACCACCTCCTCTCTGTTTCCTGCCCTTTCCCTCCCCCTCCTCTCTCTCGTCCCCAGGTCCTTCAATAACAAGATTATAAAGACACATGCAAGCATGAACCTGGTTGTGGAGTTCTGGCTGGAGAAAGACGAGTTTGGCCGGAGGCATCTGGTGATAGGCAATTGCTCTGTAGAGCCGAGTAGCATCCACACGACAGTCCTAACAGAGTAAGATCCCAGCTGCCCTCCACTGGGCTGGGCCCCTTCCTGCCTAGCCTTAGCTGTGGCCATGTGGCTCTACCACCTCCTGGATGAGCCCAACACAGATCTCACCCTTTCCCCAGGACCTACTTCTCTTCCTGAGTCAGCATCCCAGTGATGGTCCAGCCAACCTCCCAGGAGTCAAACTCTTTGTCCTCCTCAGGCCCAACTGCCCACCTTCACTGGCTCCCATCAATGACCTACTGGCAGGCCCCGCTGTCTCCTCTCTCTCCATCCCCAGAGCTACTACCCCAGCTCCTAGGCCTCTTTGTGGACCACTGCAGGAGCCAAGCTGGGTTTCCCAGACTCAGAACTCACCTCCTTCACTCCATTCTTCTGCTGTGGCAGAATTAACTTTCTAGCACAGCAACGGGGTCATGTCTCCTAGCTCCTCCTCCAAACTCTCCAGTGGTTCTCCAAAGCCCTCTGAATGAAGAGCAAACTCCTGGATGTCAGTCAGGACCCCACTTGTCCTCTCACCTGCCCCATCCTATAGCCCTTTGCCCTCTTGTGTTGCTGAAGGGCCTACCCCTCCATCAACACACCATGGATTTTCATACCACCGTGTCTTTGCACATGCTGATCCTTTTGGTTGGAATGCCCTTCCCTTCTTCTCTAGAACTCCTCCTCTTCATCACTCATTCATTCAACAAATACTGATTGAGAACCTACTATGAGCCAGACATGGCATGCCTGATGCTAGAGATACAGTTGTGAACAAGATAGAAAAAAAAAATAGAGCTATTTGTAGGGCATATTAATTAATAGAGTATAAGAGATTTATATACTGGCTGACTAAGTCTATCAACTCAGCAGACTGTGAGACTCCTGAGGGCAAGTTTGGGTGTGATTTCTCCCTGCAATTCCAGAATGCTGAAAGCAACTAGGTCTTCAGTGGGTGTCCATTCATTTACTCATCAGACATTCACTAAATGCCTAAATCATGCCAGGCACTCAAGGCTAGGACAGTGCAGGGGAAGGTCTGAACTCTGGAGCTCTACTGACCTGGTTCTAATCTAATCAGCACGTACTGGTTGTGTGACCTTAGGCAAGCCACATCACCTCTCTGAGTTGCCCCTTCAATTACTGACAGCAATGCCTCTATATGTATAGGGCTGGATGAGGATTAAATGACTGTGTAAGGTGTACTCACTGCCTAGCGCCTGGCATTGGTACTACACGGATTTATCTGTTCTGTGTATCTACCTTTTTTCTAGAGATATCTCACCAAAGATGAAACATTTTCTCCGCAACCTCAGGGAGAACCTGGCAAAAGTTATCCCACACCTGGTGGAAAGTCAGGTAAGTGTGAAAAAAATATTGTCCCCTGGGGTATCTTTGCGTCTGAGGATCAGGACATACATACTGGCAATTCAGAAAAAAGTTTCCAATCTTGGGCTTTAGGACCTGAAAATTTTCCATTAAAAATTTCAGTTTTGTTATCTACTGGCTTAGGTGTCCTTGGCAAGGGATTCAGCCTCCCCGTACCTCAGTTTGCCCATCTGTAGCATGGGAATCCCCACAGTTCCTATGTCATAGAGTCGTCACAAGGATTCGGGCAGCAGAAGTGCTGTGCATGGCATCCCGCCGGTGCTCAATACAAGGGAGCCGCTCTTGCTATGATTCCCTGTGGAAATCCAATGAGGCCTAAGCTTCCAGCCGCAGGCTCTCTAGCTTTCTTTTCCTAGTCCCTGGCCTGACCCTTCTCTCTGTGTTGGTGGCCCAGGTGTGTCCTCTGATCAGTGAAATCCTCAGACAGCTGGACGTGAAACTGTTGAAGAGCCTCATGGGTGAGTGTCCGTGTCCGTCCAGGGAGGACTCAGGATTGGTAAAGGGAAGAGGTGTCCCAGTGCAGCTCCCAGTGAGGCCTGTGGAGGGGTGTCTGCCTGTGCTCTTAGAGGGGACCATATGATGATGACCGTTCCTGTCCCCCAAGAGAGCTAAGACAGCAGAGGGCATGCCTACCAGCTGTGCCCCGCCAGTCATCCAAATCTCCAGATTACCAGAAACTGTAGCTCCTCCCAAGATCTCCATTCAGTCCTTTAGGGATCACTGCACCCCACCCCGAACCTGAGACCACCTCCATTTGCAGAGAGACACTCTTCCTACCTTCACGGAGCTCACAGTCTAGTGAACAGAATAAGCGCATAACTACTTACCATTTGGAAAAAATGTTAACCCAAGTAGCTCAGGCACTGGCCCTAGGTTGGCATGGATGGATGAGAGTCCCCTGCAGGGGCTGGACGGACAGTCACCCTAGTGACTGATGCTGCCTCTTCTCCTTACAGAACAGGCTGCTGCTCACAAATTCAACCAACTATGAGTCCAGCCCACTGACCTGGAAGGAGGTTCCACACCTTGGGACTTTAAGTCTTCCTCAGAGTGGGGCTTCCACTGCCCCCAAACACCTTTACCACAGGCCCTGTGGCGGCCTGTCCTGTCCCATAATAAACTCTAACTCTTAAGGGTACAGAGATGCCCCTTCCTGGGCCCTGAGTTTAGTGTTCCAGAAGTCAGATTTGGTGAAGGATCCATGCTAAGACTAACTATGCCTGGGTTTGCTCATCAGTCTAGAAACACCAGAGAAAATACTGTGTTTTCCTGTAACTGACAGCGAGAAGCCCATCTCTAGGTTTGCTCATCAATGCAGGGAGGGCCCTGTTGAGAGTTCCCATTCCCTTTCAGCCCATATTTGTTGAGTGCCTACTATGTGCCAACTGCTTTGCCAGGCTTCCATGGAGTGTAGGGAAAGGATGACAGAGTGGAAAGCGTAAATGTTGGCACTGGACAGATCTGAGTTCAAATTCAGTTCAGCCCAATGAGAAGTCCCGTGTGGGTATGAACCCTGTGCCTCAGAATGACCGCTGATCCCCGGCCCCCAGGACAGGGCTGGCCCAGAGTGGGAGTGGGTGATTCTGGTTTGAGGACTCACTGGCTGTGTTGGGGACAAGGCAACTTCCCTTCAGGTCTCCCTCACCCACATAGTGGGGATAGAGATATTCCAGGATGTGGAGCAACAAGAGCCTGGACCCCACTGGTGGGAGGTGAGGTGCACCATTGCTTTCCGAATCCCGGTGGCAGTGGCTACAAAAGCAACCCATAGGCCTGGCCTGTGGCCCTGCAGCCACTCCCCGCAGGCACTGCACAGAAACACGGGCCTGAGGCCACCACAAGACATGGGTAAAACTGCTCACGGCAGCAGTGGTCCTCACAGTCCCTGAGCCAACACCCTGAATGCCCGTCAAGACTCATTTTCACGACACTCGAAACAAAGCCCGGCACGGGAGAGCACACGTTGCATCTCCCATTTATATGAAGCTCAAAAACAGCAAAAGGAACCCATGCTGTCAGAGAGGAGGGCCATGGGCAGCCTTGAGGAGGGTGTTAGTGACCAGGAGGGGCTGGAGGCTGGCTTCTGTTTCTTGTTCTCGATTCTGGGTGTGGCTATGGTGTTTAGTTTTTGAAAATTCACTGAGCAAGGCGCCTGGGTGGCTCAGTGGGTTAAGCCTCTGCCTTTGGCTCGGGTCATGGTCTCAGGGTCCTGGGATTGAGCCCCACATCAGGCTCTCTACTCATTGAGCCCCCTGCCTGCCTCTCTGACTGCTTGTGATCTCTATCAAATAAATAAATAAAATCTTTTAAGAAAAGAAAAGATAGAAAATTCACTGAGCTATTCACTTATGTGCATTTTTCTTACATATATTAGACTTTAACACACATTTCTGAAATAAAAAATATTTATCATGGGACGCCTGAGTGGCTCAGTTGGTTAAGAGTCTGCCTTCAGCTCAGGTCATGATCCCAGGGTCCTGGGATGGAGCCTCACATCCGGCTTCCTGCACAGCAGGAAGCCTGCCTCTCCCTCTCCCTCTGCCATTTCCCTTGCTTGTGCTCTCTCTCTGACAAATAAAATCTTAAAAAAATATATTTACCATGCGATGTTTATAGGAGCATATGAAAAAACATTTGCAATATGTTTAGCACACACTAGGTCCATGGGAAAATGCTTATGAAAACTCATTTAAATCATTGTTAACTATTTGATTAAGGACTATTCAGTTCTTAAATATTGATTCTCGCCCTCCTCCCAAGGGGAGGCAAAGCGTTCTGGGAAATCAAGGGGAAATAACACACACATATTAATCATAGTAGCACACACATATTAAGCAGTTGGCATGTGCCAAGCCTGGTGCTCAGAGATTCTATTCAGTGTCCCATCACATCCTCACAGCAAATCCACGCAGGAGGACCCCGAGGCTGAGAGAGAGAAAGCCCCTAGCCTAAGATCACACAGCGAGGAAACAGTCAAGCTGACTGTGCTCAGGCAGCCAGACTCTAGAGCCCAGGCTTGGCCTCGTGGATTCACCCTGCAGACCTCCCACTCTTCCTCCCAGCAGCCCCCACCACACACACACACTGAGGGGGTGACGATGACTGAGGCCATTGGCCGGACTGACAAGTGCAAACAAGGAAGTGTCAACAGCTCAGAGATGAGAATGGGGTGAGAAAGCCTCCTGTCTCCTCCTTTCAATTCAGATCGCCTAATCCAAAATGCTTCGTTGGGGATTTGCAACCCTAAACGCCCAAGTTCTCATACAGAGGATTCCCCTTGAGTTTGATGGGGGGAGGATTTCCAGGTCATGAGTCTAAGATCAAACATAGGAGGGCTGGGCCCCATTGTCCAACGAGGTTGCCGGGCCCCTTGCTGAAGGCAGCTTTTGTCTGTCCTTCCTCCTGACCCTTCCGGGGGTGACTCAGGGGCCTCCTTCCTCAAGGGGCCTCCCTAGGTTTCTCAGATTCTGTTTTTGTTTTGAGGGTCATAGAGCCATAGACTCATCATGTTTTCTCCCAGCAGAGCTTGTGGCACAATGGGCTTCTATTATGATACCGAGGCTGGGGTCTAGAGGGATTTAAGGAGAAATTCAGCCCCAAGTGCCCAAAAGCTGGCTCCAGGCCCCACCTATCTGTGCCTTGAAACTTCTATGCCCTTCTGTTAAGGAGTACTGACTCTGCGCCAGGCACTGGGCTGCAAACTGCCTTTGTTTCCCCTGCTTAGCCCTCTCCACAGCCCTGGGGGTGGGTGCCATCAGCCCCACGTTGTAGGGGAGGCAAGGCTGCAAGAGGGAAAAGAATCTTGCCCAGAGGCCTCATATGAGCCGGGAGTGGGACTCAGGGCAGTCTGACAGCTCAGAGGTGGGAAGGCTCCAGAGAACATGAGCAGGAACTTTCTGAAGATTCTGTGCCACAAACTCACTCACAAAGTTAAGAGCACTGAAGTTGGACAGCCCAGGGTGACAGTCTGACTTCACCTCTTTCTAGTTGGTCTGACCCAGGGCCAGTCACTGTCCTCTCTGAGCCTCAGCGCCACCCCCCCAGGGTTGTTCTGCATGGTAGAGAGGGTCTCATTTAAAAAAACTATTACTATCATTAGCTACAAATGTAGGTGGAAAATCCATCTCTGTGGTAAATGGGACTTAAGCAAATTCTCCTTAAAAAACACATTTTCTCGGGATGCCTGGGTGGCTCAGTTGGTTAATCATCTGCCTTCAGCTCTGGTCGTGATCCCAGGGTCCTGGAATCAAGTCCCGCATTGGGCTCCCTGCTCAGTGGGGAGCCTGCTTCTCTCTCTGCCTGCTGCTCCCTCTGCTTGTGCTCTCTCTTTCTTTATGAAAAATTACTTATTTTTCTTTTTCTTTATGAAAAATCTTTATTTATGAAAAATAAATAAATAAAATCTGTATTTTTAAAAATATATACATATATATTTTTTCTCTCTTGCCAATTACAACGGCATGGATGGAGCTAGATAGAGGGTCCTAGGCTAAGTGAAATAAGTCAGTCAGAGAAAGACAAATACCACATGATTT